ACACACACACACACACACACACACACACGAACGTAACAGCCACGTCATCTCTTCCAAAGAGTCCCAGAATCTCACCTCAAAACACTAGCAATAAACTCAGATGAAAAACGTGACCTCACATGAAAGTAGCTAGTTCGGTGGAAATTCACCATTATAAAAAAAGGAACATCCTTTTTCTCAGTATCGCTTGCGAAACTAAAAGGCCATCTCTAACTTGTAACATTTTAGGGTCTTCTCATCCTTGCTTGTGGGTCAAATTACCACCCTTCAGAGTTAGGTTCAATAAAGTGGTGTCGGTGGCCTAGTGGTTAAGCTACCGGTCTCGTAATCGTGAGGTTTGCGGGTTTGGGGGTTCGAGCCGCGGGCCCGACGTTGTGTCCTTGGGAAAGGTATTTTACACCAATTTTCCTCACTTCGCCCAGGTGGGAATGGGTACCCGGCCATAGACAGCGAAAGATCTTGTCAATATGTTAATGTTTTAGCCCCTACAAATGGCTGCTTGCACTGTATGCTTCCCATGAAGTTGATGTTGTTTTAGAATTAATAGAATGCTCTGCTGGGGTAATAGTATAGATTGTGAGAGCTTGCTGTTGAGCGGGGATTTGCGCAATACAAATGCTGTCTATTATTATTATTATTATTGTTATTATTTGTTATTGATGTTGTTGTAACGACAGTTACTATGTACGGAATAAAGCAACAAACAAACAAACAAACAAAGAAGTAAGCAAACAAACAAACAAACAAACAAGCTTCCGTTGGCCAACACGTCAAGTCCTGGTCACAGTAGGATCATTGCTTCAGATGATGATAATTTTTTGGGAACATGAATCAACGTAAAGGCTTTGAACATCTCGGTCTCATTAGAAAAATAGAAATCGAAAGAGGTAGTTTAGTTTTAGTGGAGGTTTTTCGGCGTTCGCTACTGCATAAGGCCATATGAGCGCCATAAGGTTAAAGGTGTTACAAGAGAGTAAAAAACATTTTTAAAAAGAAGAAGGGGAGATAAGGACGATAGATGTTTGACAGGAAAGAAGAAGCAAGCCACAGCAGAGCACCCGCCAACCACCCAAGAGGTAGGGTTAGACAAAGAACATCTTTACTTAAAGAACTTAAGCTAATGAGAGAACCTTTAATCCAAATACTTCCGTTCAGAAATATTCCTAGTCTCCATTTACTTTTTGTTCTTGCTGCTTTTTTTTCATACTCACAACAACAACAGCAACAACAGCAACAACAACAACAATAACAACAACAACACAACAACAACAACAACACAACAACACAACAACAACAACCACAACTAAGACCATGAGGACGACGACGACCTTGATGATGATGATGGTGATGATGATGATGATGGTGATGATGATGATGATGATGATGATGATGATGATGATGATGATGATGATGATGAGGATGTAGCCGTAGCAGAAGTGGTGAAAGTAGCGTGGAACAGGAGGTGGTGGTGGTGGTTGTGGTAGTGGTAGTGTTTGTGGGTGTGGAAGTGGTTGCGGCAGTGCTTGTGGCAGTGGTGGTTGTGGTAGTGGCGGTGCTAATGAAGGCAAGATTTCGACCCAGTAAATCAATACAGCGACTTCTGGGCCCTGATCTGCAGACAAACGCTGGCAACCCTGAGAAGTAAAAGCCCACGCACAAACGAATCAGCATTCAAACAAATTAAATCCTTAGAGGAAATCATTCTCCAATCCGACCATGGCTTGTCGTCTGTTGTTTGTAACGGCCGGTAACTCTGCAAGCTCTGGCTCTGAGTGCTCGGTTGTTTGATTTAGTTTTAGGCGGAGTTTTACGGCGCTTGTAAGAGAAATATGTTAAGTTATACGTGTTGAATGAAGATTATATGTGTTGCTATAGAGTAACGTACGAGTATTCTAAAGGAAAGAAGAATGGAGGAGAGATAAGGACGATAGATGTTTGATAAAGAAAGAAGGGAAAGAGGAAGGAAATACAATATTTTGGACGATAGATGTTTGATTTTAAAAAAAGAAAGAAAACAGAAAGAAAGATAAGGACGATAGATGTTAGATGAAGAAAGGAAGAAAGGGGTGAAAGATATGGACGATAGATGTTTGATGAAGAAAGAGGGAAAGGAGGAAATATATTGACGATAAATGTTTGATAAAGAAAGAAAGGAAAGAAGATGGAAAGATAAAATGGACGATATATGTTTGATAAAGAAAAAAAAGAGAAAGAAAGATAAGGACAAAAGATGTTTGATAAAGGAACGAAGGCGGACAGATAAGGACGATAGTTTGTTTGATAAAGAAAGAAAGAAAAGCTAAAGATAGTAAAGGGCGATGTATTTATTATAGGTTAAAAGATTGGCGGGCGTGAAATCTCAAGGGACTGACGTAGACACACATCGCCCATCCACGCAAGAAAATCTGGCATGATTATTGAACCTCCATAACGACCAGCGACACACAGACAGCGCAACCCTACCTGGCAAACCGGCCCCGGCAGCTGCATAATGTTTCCATGGTAATTCACCAAACGACGGCCGGGAGACATGACGATTGGTCGGTTAACCTTGCCAGGGACCACGAGAAAATGAGTCTAATAGCCCGAAATTCCCCCAAGGACGCGTGGATGAATAATGGACGCTCAGTTTTGTTGACGACTTGCGCTGTGTTGACATTTTGGGATAAAATACTTAGCGCGGCGCTTGGCAGCCTTTTTATAGCCTCCACACAGATGTGGTTCTCTTACCTAAATGACCGTTATTGTGTCAATGTGATTCTCTTTCCTGTATGACCGTTATTGTATCAATGCTGTTTCTCTTTCCTAAATGACCGTTATTGTGTCAAAGAGGTTGTCATAACTAAATGACCGTTATTGTGTCAATGCAGATTCTCTTTCCTAAATGACCGTTATTGTGTCAATGTGATTCTCTTTCCTAATAAATGACCGTTATTGTGTCAATACGGTTTCTCTTTCCGAAATGACCGTTATTTCCTTGAGTCAATGTGATTCTCGTTACTAAATGACCGTTATTTCATTGAGTCAATGTGATTCTCGTTACTAAAAGACCGTTATATTGAAGACATGATGCTCGTTACTAAAAGTAAAAGCCGGCTATTGTGTCAATGTGATTCTCCTTCCCAAATGACCGTCGTGGTGTCAAAGAGGTTCTCGTTCCTAAATGACCGTCACGTCTTTCGCTTGTGTGTCTTCACCCAGGTGACAAAGATGACCTGTTCAGTCTCCTCCTCCAACAACAGCAACAACAGCCGACACACGCTGACAGCTCAATTGTCCCCCTTGCCTCAACCGGGGCGGAAGATGCAATGTTTGCCATAGAGAACATCGTGCAGGTGAGTTCACGGCATCCTTTGTGTCTTCCCATCCTTTGTGTCTCACCATCCTCTGTGTCTCCCCATCCTTTGTGTCTCCCCATCCTTTGTGTCTCACCATCCTTTGTGTCTCCCCATCCTTTGTGTCTCACCATCCTTTGTGTCTCACCCCCCTTTGTGTGTCTCACCATCCTTTGTGTCTCACCATCCTTTGTGTCTCACCATCCTTTGTGTCTCACCATCCTTTGTGTCTCCCCATCCTTTGTGTCTCACCATCCTTTGTGT